AGAGCTGTTGGTTGTGGTAGCGAGGTACCATCTAGATCGTCTGGTCTCAGGGGTTCCAAGGCTACTTTTTCCATTGCCCACTTGTTCGCTTGAGCTACTTGTTTCCACATGACTTCAATCAATTTTCTTCACAATGTAGATACTGATTTAGGAGAAAATATAGGAAGACTGAGCTAATTCCCTCATCTAGGCTAAGCTCAAGGAGCATTTCCTTCTTGAGAGGAGAGTAGGAATTTTTTTTGAAGTTTTTATTGTGAATTGAGTGATAGTTTATATGGGAGAACATCAGTTTTGCACTCAACTTATCGTGTTTTCTTTCATTGCAATGATTACAATCCCTTCCATGCATCATCATTCAAAAGTTTTTGCTTCTATTCCCTCTGTTTTTGTTTTGTTGTATTTTTTGGGGGGGGATGTACACAAAAACACTCAGAAATATATAACCATTTAAACAACCCAAGGGCACATTCTACATGACTGCCTCCTGGCCACCAGCACACAGCCTTTCTCTTTCCATGGGTCTAGAGTCCTCAGCTGCTCTCTCTCTCCATGTCAGATAACTACTCTACCCTTTATGTTACAAAACGTCTACCTTTACAGCTGTGGCAATCACACTTAGTCATGATAACTATTACTCACTATTGATAAATAAGAATCATATCCCCACCTCTTTCACCAGACCCATCTAGAAGATAAAATCTATTCATTGGGGATTCTACCATCACCAAACACTTTAAACTAAACTCCCTCTTGAAAACATGTAAGCCAGTCACTTTGTGCCTTTATAACACCCACCCCCACCCACCCCCATTTTAGGCAGCCAATGTCTAAGTTGCCCCTCCCTATCAACTGAGGGGAGTGGCTTGATCCTTGATGTGATGACTCCTCCCTTGTGATTGGTATTTTGAGCTACTACATCCATAAGTGTAGGTCAAGTTCATCAAATTGTAGCAATTTACACTTGCTTCCTGTATCAAATTTCTTTATCTTCCTCTAGTTGAGCTCTGATCATCAAGCCACAAAGCTAGGTCAAATGGGCACTATTTGCAAGTTTGGGTGCTCTTGTGTGTCTCCCCCCGCACTTCATATCAGCTGTATACTTCACTCTCAGCTCTAGACTGTCCATGGGCTCAGGAGTTACCAAGTTTCCCCAAACTTCAAGCCAACCAGCCCTTCCTCTTCTCTCTTTCATCTCAAGGTCAACAGGAGTCTATGGAATATGGTCCAACTCAGCCCATATCTTCATTACTGACTTTCCTTCAGTTCCACTCAAATGTAGACCAACCTGGTCACCAGTGAGCTTACATGCCTACTCATGAGTTCTTGAATTTCAGCCTTGGGGGCATAGTGGAGGTACTTGTCCTGAAGGGACTTGATTGTTTGCCTTGATGGTTCCCTGGTGAGCAGCTTGCTTGTTCTTGTAGTCGTCAGACTGCCATTTTGGTTTTTCTTTTTCCCTGCTGATGTTTCTTTCAGGAAGTATCTTCTGTTCCTCTAGCTTCTCCGGGTTGGTTTGCATGTCCTTTCTATTGGGAATGTCCCACCTCAGAAGGCTCTGGATGGGGCTCGGGATTCCACCTGAGGTCCTAAACACTACAAAGGCTCCACAAGAAGCTTATTTCACTGGGCAAGTTCTAGAACCCCTTTTAGACATTCCAATCACTTATAGGTTGAAGACAAGCTTACAAGTTTGCTGTAATCATGTTTCCTGATAGTAAGTGGGCAATAATTTATGACAATGAGTATATATCGAAGATCTATCTATCTATCTATCTATATAGATCTATCTATCTATCTATCTATCTATCTATCTATCTATATCTATATCTATATCTATATCTATATTGTTGTTGTTGCTAAGTGCCGTCAAGTCGGTTCCGACCCATAGCAACCCTGTACAGGGTTTCCGAGGCTGTAAATCTTTACGGGAGCAGAACGCCTCATCTTTCTCCCGCGGAGCAGCTGGTAGTTTCAAACCGCTGGCCTTAAGGTTCGCAGCCCGATTCGTAACCACTACACTACCAGAGCTCCACTGACCACATTATATATGTATATATATATATGTATATGTATATGTATATATAAAATGTGGTCGGTGTCCAGCTGCTCCTGATATGGAAATGATTGCAAAATCTCTCCCTCTGGATTCCAGAACTTACTCCATTTCTTGGACTTCCATCCATTCTCTTTTCAAGACTGAAAGTAATTTCTCCCTGCTGCTGGATTATAAATTCAACCTGGGATCTGAAATTCCAAGTCCATTTTTTCTCTCCATTCGTGCTCCTCACAGTTGATAAAGATGCTAAAGTTAGAATTCAGCTGTGACAGCACAGATGATTAAACTGAAGTCTAATTGGCTTTGCAGTGTTGGCAGAAGCCACCATTTAATGGCTGCATTTCCCCCATAGAAAAATAAACCTCTACGACTCCAATCAAAGAGCACAGAATTTTGTTGATTAAGGAAGCCTTTTTTTATGGGCAGTAAAGAACCAACGATTAAGAATTAAAACTGAAAGCTCAAAGCCATATATTTTTCTGCATGTACTTTAAAAAGTATAATGTTCTCCAAAGCATCATTTAAAGCATTCGATAAGGGTCTAAGGGTCTAGGATGCATAGCTTTAAAGCCTGTGAAAGCCAGCCCTGAATAGAAAAGTTGTGTCTACAACAACTCAACTTGATGGAGTTTGACTGTAAGGGCAAAATTTGTAATGGCCAAGAGTGGACAGTGTCACTCAGCAAGTCCACTACAGTTACAAAATGTGGGTTATCTTGTGGAGAGATCCAGGACCAAAGGCACCCAAGTGTTTCCTGGGCAACTGCAGTAGACAGGTGAAGAGAACAATTGCTTGTACTTTTGTCTCCACAACCTCCGGTGGGTGGGCTTGCCGCCAGTTTTGCCCAGCACAAGGACCAGAGCCATTCGTGTTGTAGTGTGAAGGATGAGGTTCTCTATGATTTAACAACAAATAGAAAAAACGAAGGGAAATTTAAAAAATTTTAAAGAGCCAAAAATAGTAATGAAGCTTCTATGTAGTCTCAAAATATGATCTAAATGGTTTTTGATTTGTCTTTTAACCATTCCTCAAATTGAGAATCCATTGGTCAGTGCTACTGGTCGCTGCCAAGGTGACTCAGATTCACGATGACTTGGTGGACAACAGAACTAAACACCGCCTCGTCCTGAAGAACCCTCGCAGTCACCAGCATGGGCCCCCAGCGCTGTGGTTACTGTGCCACGCCATTTCTTTGAGGATGCCCCCCTAGCCCTTTGTGATCGTCTACTTCAAAAACCGTGACCGAACCCACCTGAGGAGGTGTCCAAAGCAAGCAAGTCAGACAGTGTTCTCTTGGATCCACAGGGTCTTCATTGGCGTCTTTTCTTTTTAAAAACTTGTATTGTGAATTGAGAGAAAGTTTACAGAGCAGAAGATCAGTTTTATGTTCAACAAATCATGTACTTGGTTGCGTTTCAATCCTTGCAGGCCCCTCAGTGTAACTTCATGTAGCCTTCTGATTTTCATTTCCATTCTTCCTTCTTTTCCACCCCTTCGGAATTCTGTCCTTAGGTAAATGCTGCCCTTTGATAGTAAATGGTTGATTGTTCTATGAGGGATCATACTGCTGATATGTTATCAGGAAGGACCAGTCCCTGGAGAAGGGCATCATGCTTGCTAAAGTGGAGGGTCCGAGACAAAGAGAAAACCCTCTCAGTGAGATGAATTGGCACAGTGGCAGCAGCAGTGGGTTCAAGCATAACAATGGTTGTGCAGCTGGTGCCGGACCCGGCAAGGTTGCATTCTGTTGTGCGTAAGGTGGCTATGAGTTGGAACTAGCTCAATGGCACCTAACAATAACAACGGCTACTTGGTTGAAAACTGAGCCGTGAGTGTGAGTTCACTTCCAACCCTGAAGCATGACCAAGGGCTGTAGTCTTCGGGTTTCACCAGTCTATTTTACCAAGATGCCTGGCCTAGTCTTGTTTTTGTTGGTTTTTGAAGATTTAGACTTTATTCCACATTTTTTCCTGCTCTATCAGGACATTTTAATGTGTCCCCTTTCAGAGCAGTTATTAGTGGTAGGTGGCACCATCTAGTTCTTGTCTCAAGGTCTTGCAGACTGGTGTTCTCATGGTCTGTTAGTGCCTTGGACTAATTGTTTCCAAACATCTTCAGGTTTCCTTATTCTCCTCCCCACAAGGAGAGTGTACTGGAGATGACGGCTAAGGAGCTTTGAAGGCCCCACTTGCTACTCACAGAAAGAGGTGTTTGTAGAACATGGGGTTTGTGGACTTAGTTATGCTAAGTGACCATGGTGCCCCCCAAGACTATGGTCCTGAGCCCCACGCCCAGCACCTCATTCGCTCAGGGTGTTTGCTTATGTCGGAGAAGTTTTCATAACTTTGCCCGTTGTGTGCCGCACCACATTCATGAATATGTTTGCTTAACACCCATCTACAGATATCCTCTGTCAAACCTTTATTTATTTCTGGGTTTACTCCCACTTTCCCTCCCACACCCATTCAACCTGTGTATCTGTTCATGCATCTAACCATAGACCACAATTGTTAAAGGGTTGTGTATGTACACAATCTACTCCTTCATATATCATCCCTTGCCTTGATCATTGTCCTGCCAACCTGTCTTGTTATTTGTTGTTCATTGGCTAATCTTCATAAGCAGATCAGGCTCCCCGTCCCCTGGTATTTATCAGTAGTGCTTAATAAAGGTCATTTGATTTTCCATTTCTGGTATAAAGTAGTAGCAATTATAAAACGAGTCTCTAAATTCACCTGTTTCTGAGGATTTTGATAAATTGCTGATGCTTACAGAACATTTATATAATTTCGTGGCGCCAATGGAATCCTCTAAATTAGAACCGCTGTAGTCAGCATGGGATAGTTATCTGATCCTTTAGGTCCCTGGGTTTCTTAGTGGGTAGCTTTCCCTCCGGCCCTCAGCATTCAAGGACTGATAGCATGTTATTCTTTTCTTCCTTTAGGGGCTGATGTCATCAACTTCGATGGCCACGTAGTGCTGCCATACAGATTCCGTAACAAGAAGATGAAAACCCTGAAAGACGTCATTGCCCTGAAATTTAAGACATCTGAGAGCGAGGGGGTCATCTTGCACGGGGAAGGGCAGCAAGGAGATTACATCACCCTGGAACTGAAGAAAGCCAGGCTGGTTCTCAGCTTAAACCTGGGTACGTTCCCACTACCGGCCCCATGCCTGCCATGTACTGCTGTCCACATCAGGGACATGGCCAGCTTACTCAATCCTTTCTAATGAAAGCACAGAAAGAGTTCACTTTATGTTGGCGGCTCATTCTCAACCCCTAGCGGTTGTATATGCAGATGCCTGCTCATTCAAAAATGTCTGTAGAATAAGCACTGGGTTGCTAACCCCATGGCCAGCTGTTCATACCCTCTTGTCACTCCATGGGAACACAATGAGGTTGTCTGCTCCCATGAACTCTTATCTGCCCGTTAACCTTGAAAACTCTATACAGGGTTGCTATCTGACTCACTGGCAGTGGGGTCGGGCATTGACAGTGATTGGGATGGGTCACAATCACAATTGTGAGTAAGGGTGATGTTCATGATTAAGAACAGGTGCAGTGAGGGAAGCCTCTTGGGTGAGAAGATGGTCAAGCTGAGTTCTGAGTGATGACAAGATGGACCATGAAAAAGTTAAGAGGAGGGAAAATGTTTCAAAAAACGGAGTCATTAAAGACAAAGACCCATCATGTTCAAGGGACAAGGATGGAGGCTGGGATGGAAAGATCTAGTGAGCAGGTGGGTTAGGAGATGACATCTAAGAGTTGGTCTAAATCCAGAGGGTTCAGATATTATATTAAGAATGGCAAGTTCTTACCGTGGCTGGCCACCTGACCTGCAGTTAAACACTCACTGAAGCAGAAAAGTGCTTCTCTGTGCCCAGAGTGGGAGCAGGCGACGCCTACCTAGCTTAGGGCAGACAGGAGGTGGTTCTCACGGAAGATGAAGGTCTGACTCAGATTCTCTTGTGATGGACTGTGCATCACAGGCAAGAAAGAAAGGCAAAAACTCGGAGCGGCTCGTAGGGTTTGGACATTAGTGACACCCTCAGAAATGGAGGAGGGTTAGAGGTTTGCTCCAACCTGGTGCACTCAGCTGCCTGTCAGACATCTGGGTGGAGAAGCCATAGGAACACCAAGACTTGCGGAACATAATACGGTAAAGACTGTGGGAGAACTCACCGGAGAAGATGTGGAATATGTTAGAACCTTGGACTGCTCAGCCACGTTATCTATAAAATAGATGCACAAAAATCACAAGGGACCAGGTTTTGCTGCCTAATAATTGTAAATTTTAGAATAATAACACCACTGCCATTGGTGGAATTTGACTCCTACGACCCTATAGCTCTATCGGCAGAGTTGGACGGCTCCAGTGTTTCTGAGATTCTAAATCTTTAACCTAAGCAGACAGCCTCATCTGTTCCTGTGGAGCAGCCAGTGGGATTGAACCACCGACCTTGTGGTAAGCAGCCTGATGCTCAACCCACTGCATTACCAGGACTCCCTTTTTCTAAGAAGAAGTAAATGATGTTTAATTAATAAGCAGTCAGATTTTACAATGACAACATCAGCATATGGCATAAAGTACCCTTCAGACTGTTCTGTAAAGCAGGAAATATTATTAGGAAAACAATTTGACAATATGCACTCAGATATTTAAAGTCCCCCCTATAATTTGATCCACTCATTCCACGGAAATAATAAAAAATGCTTACAAAGATTTAAGACCATTTTTGAGATATTGATTACAATGTGAAAACTTTGGAAAATAAAGGAGCTGAACATTTGGAAGTATGTTGATTTGCACTTAAAATGAATCAGTTCTACAGGGAAATATTCACTACATAATTTTTAAAGCTGTGAAATAAAAAATATTATAGACAGTACAGTACCAATACTACGATACCCTATCTATCTATTGTTGTTGTTGTTGTTGTGATGTGCCATGGAGTCGGTTCTGATGCATAGTGACCCTGCATAGGGTTTCCGAGGCTGTAAATCTTTACAGGAGAAGAAAGCCTCATCTTTCTTCTGCGGAACAGCTGGTAGTTTCAAACTGCTGACTGTGAGCTTCGCAGCCTGATTCATAACCACTCTGCTATGCGTACGTAACCCTAAATAGAAACGTGTATAAAGCCTGTTTGTACGGAAGCCTGTAAGAGTTAGGACTTGATAGGATAGCCGTACCTTCCCAATTCTCTCCACTTCTCCTCCTTTGACAGGGTGTAGCCTGACCACTTTTGAGCTCGCTCTAGGAGCGGGAAATCTTTCAATTTCGTGTCCGACACAGGTTCCAGCCTTTTCAAATTTGACTGTATATGGAAAAAAGTGTGGCAAGAAGGAGACTGATCTATTTTTAGTGGTGGATGTATGATGTTTTCCATATGAATTCTTCATGCTGTTTTCTCCTTGTAACCATGGACATGCATTCTTTCATTACCTGGGGAAACAGCCCAAATCCACTGTGAAACAAGTATCGGTAGAAGGAAAGGAGGGACGGAGTGAGGAAACAAAATATCAAGAGTCTTGTTTTGTGTTTTAATAATTGCACACACACAGAGACAATGTGATAGCATTGTTTCCAAAGTCTGCTTTCTCAGGCCTCTGTCACTCTGTCAAATGAAGCCTGCAGAGGGACCTTCCAAAGCTCCTGACCTTCCTCAAGGCGCAACATGACTTTTCTGAAACAAGTCACTGGTCATATCACCTCCAAAGAAAGGGCATTCCTTCCCTTGTCCCTGAGAAATGTCACTTTCAGAGCTGTCATAACTAACTGCTGGGGCTTACAACAGCAAAGGAAGCCGGCTTCTCCTCACACATACACCACGCTCGCCCGTAAACCGGTACCTCAACTTCAGGGCTATATGGCTGCTCGTTCACCTTCTGGTCCAGATGTTAAAAGTGATGGGACCTAGGGTTCTCTAAGATTCAGTGGGCCCACCCCCCGCAGAAATAAGCTTGCAATTAAATGCTATCTGCATTTTATGTCATCACCAAAAGTGAAGGAGAAAATATGATGTAAGAAAAGCACACAAAGGCCTTTAGCACCTTTAATGTGCACTGACTTTGTGCACAGTTATTCCAGTCTTTCTTCTTAAACCAGGCTGTAATTTTATAAACGAGGAGCTCTGGTAGCATAGTGGTCACAAGTCGGGCTGCTGACTGCAAGGTCAGAAGTTCGAAACTATCAGCTGTTCTGTGGGAAAAAGGTGAGGCGTTCTGCTCCCGTAAAGATTTCCAGCCTCAGAACCGACTCCACCGCACACCATCACCACCCATTTTAGAGACTACGTTTTGTCTGCTCATATAAAGACAAAGCAGAAAGTGGCTTAAAGAATGCTAATAGTACACACTGACAAACCTGGTAGACAGTCTGGGTTCTGCCACCCTTCCATTCTGGTTTGTAGCTCTGTCGTTCTGCAAATCTCATTTCAAAACCAAATGCATATAATTAACTTCTTGTACAGTTTTCCCGGTCTTTCTAGATACATTGGAAGGGTTTTACTTTAATGGAAAGTCTACCTTGAATAAATATTTCATACCATTTAATAATTCATAGTGCTTAAGATAATGGCTTTTTAAGTCAAAGAAAAACCGGAAAACATGTCATACTAACAGTAGCAGCAGCAGCAACAATCGCCATTTGAAAGAGCTGTTTCAGGTGACATTTGATGAACGTTCACTGCGCACCAGGATACGCAGGGAGTCCTTGGTGGACTTGACCTCACTCCTCCCAGTAACCCTCTGCCCAGGTCACTGGCCTCGGGACGCTGGTCACTCCTTGTTTCTCTTCCCTTCTGACACAGGAAGCAACCAGCTGGGGCCCATCTACGGCCACACCTCTGTGACCGCCGGCAGCCTGCTAGATGACCATCACTGGCACTCTGTGGTCATTGAGCGCCAGGGCCGCAGCATCAACCTCACCCTAGACCGAGGCACACAGCACTTCCGGACCAACGGCGAGTTTGACTATCTGGACCTGGACTATGAGGTGAGGGGCAGGGCGGAGCCTGGGGGAGATGCTCCACTGTCCCTGAGTCCTGTTTTTTAGCCACATGTCCATCTGCACATTCCTTCAGGGTACTCCAACCAAAATTACACATGCAGCTTGAAACACAGATGGCGTTGCGTTAGTTTCTAGACATTTACCCAGGAGTAGTTGGAGTATTTATGAATATCGGTATCCAAGTAATCATTTCCCCACTATATATCATACTGTGACAAATGTCTTCTAATAGAACTCCAATCCCCATTACACATAATGTTGTGATGAAGAGTTTCTAAGGGAACTCTCATCTCACCGTACATAGCACGATGATGAACATCTTCTTACAGAACTTGTATCCCCACTACGTGCTTGTAATGCTGTGAAGGGCATCTTGGTATAGAACTCTCGTCCTCACTGTCCATAACGTTGTGATGGCCATCTTCTAACAAAACTCTCATCCTTTGTATGTGTATTTATATATAGCATTTTAAATGTCAGTGTCAAAGGAATATCTGAAGGAAGGAGTCATTGGTCATACCATCAAGACCATGGAA